GGCTATAGCACAACATCTCACACAGACTGACACTAACTACTGGATCGAGTTGCATAGCCCCCAGGTACTCTCGACAGAACGTCACTACATACCACGGTTGGTACGAGAAGCCATCGAGATCACGAAGTACAAAACATTTAACCGTGATTATAGGTTTAAACTGTCCAGTGCATGGAATACGGTCCTTAGTGCGTGCAGTAATAAAAACAAAAACGCCTCGAGTTTAGTTTCGCGTGTGGATACCGTGAGTGTGGTTTGTGTGAAAAAAGTGAGTGACAATGGTAATGCCACAACAAATCGCGATGAAGGTAGTCGTCGACAGCGCAAGAGGGTAGACAGATATGTCTGCTCTTAAAGCTGTCATCTGCCGCCGTCCAGTCAACCCGTGACCATGGAGCGTGCAACCGTTCCGAAATATCGGGAAAATAAAAAGAAGACATACCGTGGTAAGAAACCTGATACTAGTGATAATCATTTAGTGAATAACTACGAAAGTCTTAAAATCTATATGGTAACTGATTGCTATTATTTTGAAGGACACTATACGATACGTGCTATTTTGTAAGCAAACACTCCATTATTAAAATATATATAAATTAATTATAATTACACTATTATTTGTAATGTAAATTCAATTTAATTGTTATGTGACGTAATGTTATATGTAATGTTAAATTTATTAATGGGTGTTTAAAGATTCGCAGAGAAACAATCACAGCTAGTTAACCGATCTTGATATATTTAGTATCTGTACCTACTAAGTAGGTTAGACATAAAAGATGTTATTAATAAAAACATTCCAAAGTTGAACTAACAGGATGAATTCCATCCCATAAGTTTGTAAAGTTGTTACAAAAAAATGCATATTGAAGTAACTGGAATATTTTTGTACTATTAGTTTTTTTTATTTGATTGACCGTACAGTCGAACGTAGTGGAATAGATCATCTTGACCCCAACTTCTATACAGTAACTCCAAACTGCCGTTCAAATAATCCCCATCTTGCAAACTTGCGCACGGCATCCGATTCCTATTTGTTCCGAATCCAAAACTATATAAATCTATAAAACTCGGACCCACTCCGGATGTCACTTGTGCACTAAGTCTGATTTCTGATTCTGACATTTCGGACACTTGTGACATTTCGGATCGTCATTTTCTCGGATTCGGAACTGATACGAACCGGGCGTAGTGTGCAAACGTACTTTACTCTTGCCATATTCACCTGAGCCTAGAGGCTAACGTTTTTTCCGCAAATTAGAAACTGTCTACCAGGCAAATATACGGTAGTACGTGGTTATCGTAGCTACAAGGAAAATAATTTAGATCCCATGATGTCGTTGAAAATGTGTTCCACGGTTTATTACCGTGCTCCCTGCATGCGTTAGAAAGAGATCGATTGATAATTTCATTGATTGTATATTGTAGGCAATTGTGAATGACTTAACGTATCTTGGTATGACTTTGGGCAAGAGCTGTGCAGTGTGTGACTAGTTTAGTGTAATCAGCTAATCGAAAATTTACAACATAAAATTTCCGTAAATAAACTTGTAAAATGTAAATCAACTTTTGTAAAAGTAGTTCATAATAGCTGAAACTGACCTTGAATATGCTCCACTATTTCGTTACACACTGTATTTACTGGCAATTTCACACTTCAATTTCTATTTTTTGTTTTACAGTATTTTTGCCTAACTGTACTTCTAGACAGTGTATTTTTATTGAAACGACGTATATTCCAAAATACATTATATATGTCTGTAAATGAAAGTTGCAAAGGCATGGACAAGTGTATTAGATCAATTATTTAATATACTACCAACTCCTTTAACTATTTTTTGCTGTTCGCTCTCATAGGATCTAATTACGAGACTAAAAGAATATAATGAAGTACTAATGTGTACCTCGTTAATCAGAAGAGATGCTATTAATGAAAATGCTCCACTTTTCAGCATGAGTAAGTTTTTTTTAAGTAAGGTGCGGTAATAAATTAAATCCTTAGGGCGCCTTCAAATTAAACGCTTATAGCGCTGGCTGCAGTGGCGCGTCTAATATTCATACATCTAAAAGCGTAGTCGCCGTGCAGCGCCACTGTGGCACCACGGCTGTCGTAACACGCGCGCACCAGTTTTGCAATCTCAATTAATAAAATCACAGAAAGCGCTACTGCAGCGTTTCTATAAGCGCTAATTTGATGTCACCCTTATGGTTACACTTCGATGTTTATTTGTTAATCATCGATGTTATTCTCAGAAACGACTTGTGCTATCGATTTAGTATTCTCGTAGTCGTTTAGTTTAGTTGCCCGCATTCGTATTCTAGGATAAATAATATTGGAAATATTTTTATTTAGTGAAATAGAAATCTCAAAGCAGAGCAATTGGGTTAAGGAATTATTATGATTAGAGTTCTCCTATTCGACAGATTGAAAGTGGTGAGAATAAAATATTACAATATATATACTCAACTTTATACAACATCAATACGATTTTATTGTCGAAGAAAATCAGAAGGCGTGTCGCTTACACCAAGTGCAGAACTAATTTGTTCCATTAGTTGATATCATATAAAAATAAAATAAAAATAAACTTGTTTCCGGATACATATTTATTGAAGACAATCAAGAGCACACAAACTTGGATTTTGGACTGTTCTTATCCTAAATGGGATAGAGTTGAATTTCGAATCTTACGTGTCTTGCTTCGCTTGCCTTGGCCTAGTTGGTCTTTAAAAAGTGTTGCTTCTTATATAAATTTAAGCATAAGCTTATGTTGGTAACTTCACGTGTGTTTTCTTCTCTGTATGGTTCAATTGACCTCACTTTAGCTACTTGGTTTGGCTTTCAACAACTAAATCACAAATAACCTCAACTTTGGTCGTTAGACTGAGTGTATGGCAAAAAGTATGCCAAAAATCTACTATTGCACTATTTGCAAGGTTACACGGTCCTAGAACAACTTTAAAATTTTTATCACGCACAGGTTCGCTCTTGTACGTAATATAATCAGTCACGTCATCACTTAATGTCGGGCGAGATAAAGATCAAGGGTGTCTTTATTTTAATATTATTAAAATTAAAAAACAAAAAAAATCAAATTCATCTTAACTTTTTTCTTGCAATTCCACATTTGTATTAGCTTTTTATCTTCTTTCCTTTAGGCTACTTATTTCCACTATTCTTATAAAATTAGAGAGTTTATTTTGCAATTTTTATTCCAATAATTTGCGTGTGACTGCTTCAAAAGGTCCTTGCTAAAAAACAACTTTCCTTTTATTTGAAATGGATCATTTAGTAAATTAGAAATCTTCAAGTCTAAGCGAACTTAACGTATCCATTGTGATTTACAAAGATATAAAAAGAAGTAAAAAAAAAAATACAGCTACACTTTTAAAAATGTATTGTTCGTTAAATCATACAAAATGCTTTAGAGAGAGTTATTATACAATAAAGTAGAGCTCCTTGTGAAAGAGTTCGTCCAGGGAAGTACTGCCACCTTACCTACTTCTGCCGCCAAGCAGTAATGTCAGCATTACTGTGTTCCGGTTTTGAAGGGTAAGGGTGCTGGTGAAATGACAGGCACATGGGACTTGTCAACTTATATCTCAAGGTGACTGGCGCAATGGCAGTGCCCCTCAGGTCTTTGCGATATAAAACTCTGAGTGGCACTGCAACTATTATGGACAGGCGTGTAGGTTACCATCAAGCACACGACTTGTTCGCCCCGTCACTTGATATTATAAAAAAAAAAGAAAATTATTGGCAAGATTATTAGCTATTTGAGTTTATTTAATAAAATTGCTTTCGGAAGCTATAATAAAACTGAACCTACAGATAAACGTATTCTATCGTGTAAGTCGATTCAGTCAACTGAACTGGACAACTAACCTAGTGGGACCATAGAGGGTTAAGCAGATGACAGAGGTCAAATGGGATTATTTTTTGTTTGGTTATTAATTTCGTTAATAGTATTCCTGTATTAACTTTAAAATTAGTCTTGTCATGATTGTGCGCTTGGTTGTATTTTTGTCTTAAAATTGTTAAAGTATTTACCACTCCACATCCACTTACCAAAAAGGTTGTGTGTGCATGCTTTTAAAATTATATTTTTTATTAATTTACTGTTTATTGTTAATTAGTTCATAAAATAGTTGAATGTTTATTTTTTACATTTTAGTTGTTTCGATTTGATTCGATTCTTAATAAAACGCAAGAATATTTTCATTCAAGTAAAATTTGCTTTTAATTCAAGGTAGTGCTCCCTCGCATCCCATGGATTTTTCCACCCTGTATATTTTATTTTGTGTGTCGATATCGACGAGACTATCAAAATATATTTCCGAGGCCTATGCACTCCTACTTTAGAAGACTTAAGAAATTTTACTTTAGAAGAAGAAGAAGATTAAATCACGTTGTGTATGGTGTGACAATGAAACATTATTTTGTTTTAGTCTGAGAAAACGTAGTGGAGGTGGTAGTGGTATGTTATGATGAAAGTATTAATTGTCATAATGTTGGCAGACTAGTTCCACAAAAAACACAATAAAATTGACAATACAGAATTCTGAAATGTTTCAGTATCACTGTAATACCTTAATGTCGTAAGATAAACTACCATCAAAATAAACGATAAATTAGGCAATGGAGACTTCCTGAATAACGAAGCTAATGCATGAATATTTTTTGTGTGTCAGTTCTGGAAAACCAAAGTTTTTTTTAATGGCAAGGAAAGTATGGTGAGTTTTATTGAGCACCATAGAGAGATTGTTACAGTTAAGTATATCTAAGTATTTCGATAAAGACCCTTTTCACATTTTGTTTTCGTATCTATAAAGTGACATTATCAGCATGCAACATTTATCGTGTATTCCCACTGCTCAGCCCATTTAAACCAGAACGTAGTTGGGTGACGATCGCATGGGATCGACGATTGTCAGTGTAACCGGTCATTTAAAATCGAAAAAAATGGTCCGGAAAAATATAAAATGGAGGTTTCTGTTCGTACTTACTTTGCTTCTTTTCAATGTATTTACAAAATCTTCACCGATCGAGAAAAGTCCATCCGCATTAGTCGTGTCCAATATTAGCTTACCGAAATTAAAAATGGCGAAGTTGGATGGATCTGAAGTGATACGTGACTCTGGGATTAAAACATTCAAATTCGAAGTAGCGGAAAATGAAAGGCCAAGTAGCGAAACTGTTCTTACTGAAGATGCGAGGAAAGATTCAATAAATGGCACCCGCAATCTTATAAGAAACGTCAGGCCAGGGCAAACGGTACTCAGATACACGGTTAAAATTTCCTTCGACGGTGACACGTTCAACGGTGAAGCAGTAATCTATGTGCGATTGGATTCTACAGATGACCCTATTATATTTCACCTAGAAGCGCTTGATGTACACGATGTGCGTACTGGAATTATCTCGGAAGATAACGTACAATCGGTGGGTTGTAATTTAGAAGACGGTGTTATAGAAATATTCCCTAATAATGCAGGTGGAATTCATATCGTTGTTATTGAGTACTCTGGAGAAATAAACAACTTTGGAAAAGGAATATTCCAAGGTGGTTTTAATGATTAGTAAGTATCTATTTTTTACACTGAACTTGTGGAAAATTTACATATACTATTGTAATCGTAAATATATGTATAAACAAAACGAAGAATTGCTTGGGATTCCAAAGAGAACAAGGCCATCACCATTTTGTTGGGCAGATAAAGGTATTAGCGTTCCCAAGATTTTTATTTCTATGGCGTTTAAACGGGATCGGACTCAGTAGGTATGCCTTTTTAAATTAGTTTATTTTTTGTGATAATCATATTGATAAACAAACATTTTATTCACCTGAATCATTACCTGAATGGTCTTACCGCTCGGTAACTAACTGATATCAGTAGATTTTTGCTATAACAAGGCCTCTATCAAAATAAAAACCTATATATATAAACCTATATCAAAAGTGTTTTTTTATTATGTAGTCGTAAAGAATGCAACGTAAATATGTGTAAATGAATCAATATTTCATGTCTTTCCAGTCGATATGTGGGAATGAACCTTTTCCCGACGAACGCGCGCCGTGTATTTCCCTGCATGGACGAGTTGCAGGCTGTTGCTACTATTTCTTTCATATTCGAGGAAGTTCCTTTCGACGAAATAGTCTCCAACTCTATGAGAGAAGATAACAATCCGTAAGTTCTCGGAATCATAACACAAACATCAAAATCAATCGACAGTCGAAAAGACTTTTTTCAAGTACTTTTATGGTGTAAATATTTGTCTGTGTTAGTTGGTTTTCTATATCCCTGTAAAACCGAGTGTAACCGGAACACTTTGAACACGCCGCCATTCTATCAGCACCATCAATAATCTCACACGGACAAATTATTTACACGCTACATCCCATCATCACCCAAATCACTTACTTCAATGGTATTTATTATATTAGTTTAATGAACGGACATAAGCTTCACGTACCTATTTACAGGAACCAATTTCAAGCCCTTCAAGTGCCACCACATCTCTGGGGTATGGTTGCTCATAATTTCTTTAATATTGACATGCCAGCACCAAATGTGATACTATATGGTCGACCTGATCTAAACCAAAATAGTTTAGCTAGTATCGCTATTGAGGCATTTTTCACTTCATATAACGAAAAACTGAATAAAATGTACTTCACAATTAATGCAAATCAAGACGGCAGATTGCATATCTTCGCTCTGCCAGACACTAACATGGAATGGAACGCCTTGTCTACTATTTGCATTTGGTAAGTTGAATGAGCAGTGTGAAAATTATCAGCTAGTGATAATCAATTATCATCTTCTAGAGGCAATAGTAATGCTATTTTAAACTGTATTTTATTATAGTAGTATTTCCTAAGTCTTTATACACAACAATTTTGATTCACCGTCAAAGGCAATCCCTAATGAGGTTAAGTGGTTTCTTTGTAGGTACCTAATAAATATTATGTCTAAAATATAACTTGGTTTTACAGATATATTTAAATATATATTGCTAAAATACACCGACACGATCTACTCTTTGCCATGTGTTTTCAATTAACATTTCGGTGTTTTGATTTCGATGTTATTGAAAGCCTTATTTCAGAATGAAATTGAGACGACTTCGTCATCGACAAAGTTTGGACTTTTAAATTATTTTTCTTCAGGGAGCCACACATTTTTATGACGAATACTCACTCTATGATGCAACGAAAGACTGCACTGGTAAAAATTGCTAATGCTATGGCAAGGCAGTGGTTTGGTTACGTGGTGTATCCTGAAGACTGGAAAGATCAGTGGGTGATATCTGGACTTGCGTCTCATGCTGCACAGGAGGTCGTCACAGATGTAAGTGAATGTTGTTAGGGATTTGAAACCTATTTGTTTGTTTTTAAAACCATCTGGCAACGATTAACACAGAGGTTTTTCAACCATGTAACTAAAAATTATATAATACGCGCCTGTTTATATAAATGTGATCAGTCTATTGCAAAAAAATTAAATTTTGTAAACTAAAATACTTACTTACTTATATTTGAAGTATCTTAACATTTACACTTTTCATTTCTAGAGAAAACTACAAACTTTGTTACATGACTACCGATTTATTTTAATACTTGTGAAATTGCTGTTTTTATATAGTGTGCAAAAAATAAAAAAGCCGTAATAGCCCAATGGTTTGACCTAAGTTACTGCCTCTCAAGCAGAAGGTCGTGGATTCGAATCCGGACTCGCACCACTGAGTTTCTCGGAATTTAAGTATGTGTGAAATTTAATTTGAAATTTACCATGAGCCTTTCGGTGAAAGAAAACATCGTGATGAAACCTGCACGTTGAAGAAGGTTCACAACCCTCGGAAAACGTGTGAAGTCCCCAACAAGCATTGGGCCAGTGTGGTGGACTATGGCCTAAGCCCTCGTCTGAAAGGAGGCCCGGTAGTGGGACGTATAAATGGATTGATGATGATGATGATATAATGTTCATTTTGTAATGTTCAGTTTGTAAGTATTGTGAGTCATCACAATTGATCCGTGATCACAATAAAGTGATTTTCATTGTGACGTTTCAAGTTACGTCTCTGCTTAAATGTATAATTTCCGTGGCCGACTGGGTTGCACACCGGTTTTCATGGCGTCGCCATCTCTGAGGTCCTGGGTTCTGTCCCCAGCCGGGTCAGTGTAGAAAAACTAACTTTTCTATATTGTACCGGGTCTGGGTGTTTTTGGTAACGTTATTGTTTTATTTCCATTTCTTTTCCATGATTTCCATAACTCAAGTGCTTTCGCTATAGCTGCTTACTTTGAGATCAGAAGAACACATGTGATGTTGTCTAACATTTATTTATAACGTTTTAATGTACGCCTCTATTTAAATGTAATGAATCATAAATATTATCAAAATGGTATTCCAGTTCCAATCATCAGATAACGAAGATGTCACTCTATTGGATATGAACACTATTTTCACAACTGATGTGATTCAAGAGGCTTTATTGCAAGACTCCTACAGCAGTGCTGTGGTCATATCTCCAGAAGAGGACATGTTTGATGAAGTAGATATCCGCCATCATACCTTAGGTCTATTGAATATTAAAGCACCTGCTATCATGAGGATGCTAAGATTAGTACTCAGTGATGAAGATGATTTCGTCTTAAGAGCAGGGCAGCTACTGTTGAATCGAAGGTAAATAACATATCCTGATATTTTCTGTACATTTCGTAAGGGGTTCCATGTGATTATATATATACATATTTCTTATCTATATCTTATATCCAAGGCGCTTGCAAGCTCGCAAGGTGCTTTTTTAATATTCACTGGAATGATGTAATAAATTCAAATTCACCAAATTCTATGAAATTATTGTGTTTTACAGAACTCTGTCATCAACGTCACTAAATGATTTTATCGACGCCGTGAATTATGTATGGCCCGGGAATGATAATATCGATGACGTTGGAGCTTTTCTTGAGCCTTGGATCCAAAACACGGGATACCCCGTCCTTCATGTGGGCTGGAAATCAAACAATTCGGTTTTGCTAACTCAAGTATGTTTCAACCAGTTAAATGATACATTTTTGAGATGATAAAATGCAATCCAGTTTAATACGACGTGTCACATTCAGATTATAAAAATATATTTTTGTAGAATAAAATGTGGGATTAGGTTAGAAAAAATTCAACAATAGCGGTGCATTTTTAAATTGAGGATTACAAATTAATTAAAGTTTTTTTTATGACACCAAGTAACGGGTCGAACAAGTCGTACGCCTGGTGATAAACGACATGCTTATCCATAGCAATTCTAGTACCACTCAGACCTTTAAATCGCAAAGAGCTGACGGGCACTCCCACTGCGCCCTAAGACATGAGTTGACAAGTCTCATGTGTCTGTAATTTTACTGGCACACTTTCCTTAAAAACCGGAACGCAGTAATCTCAAAGTCATGCTCACACTACTGTATGGCGGCAGAAATAAGTTTCATAAGTTGCTCTATTGATACTGTTTCGCTATCCATACTGCAGTCCTTATCATAAACAACGTAACTACATGTCATTTTTACCGAAATTGGGTTATTAACTTACAATGCCCTATAAGCCGTTTTTTTGTACGTCATTTAATTTCAGCTTTATTGGTAAGCAAAATCAACGTAATTCACATTTTTAAAAAAGCTTTAGAACAATATTTAGAAAGTTATCTAAACGTTGTTTGTGACAAGGAATGAGGCATAGCGGTAGCGATATCCGGTTTGAAAGGAGTTAGGTTTGAAGGAATACCGCATACGCACTCCGTTTTGTCCACCCGGAGGGATTGCGAATATCGCCTTTATTCCAATACGCCTTAAAATTATTACTAAGGAATATCATTTTATAAATATAAATCACCAAATTAGCTCAATCACATTAAACAAAAAAAAATTTGCAGAAATTTAGCTGTAAGATTTTATCGTTAACTCATTCTATTTAAGGAACACTTTAGTTTCGCCGATAGTGAGGTTGTGGGATACAGAATTCCAGTTACTTTTACTACGAACCAACAGAAGAATTACAATAATATGTATCCCACAGTGATGTTAGAAAACCCAGATGAAATATCGCTGCTGAATATTCTGGATGAAGACGACTACGTTATTTTCAATATTCAAGGGCAAGGTTAATGTTGTGTTTCATTTTCTTTTCATTTGTTGATATTACCAAT